CAATATTGTCTGGTGTAAACCCTAAGTTATTAACGGCGCGTTTACATTAGACAATGCTGTCACGCCAATAAGGAAATACATATTAGTTGTCAAAAACGCTGATTGTCTCCGTGGCGTAAGCATCCTGACAATAGTTATGACAACGTGAACGTTGTATTATAATATAAAGGGAAGACAAAGTTACATACACATCAGCGCCTCTTGTGTTGTTTTAGTTCTTTTGTTATGAATTTCTCTTCTTTCTGGCACAAGACTTCAAAATTATTGTCTGCATACGTCAAATCACTGTCCGATTTACAGCCTTCAATATAATCAAGACAGTGATTGAGACAATGGATAAGTATGCATGTATTAGTGAAAAAGTGTGCATGTATTAATATTGCCATGATAGTTTTGTCCGGTGTAAACCGTAAGTAAGGGATAATCTTTTATTATTTCTCTGTATTCTACCTCACTGTCTGATGTACCTATTCCACTTTGTTTCGACCATTTCCACATACTGTTTATTTAGCTGCAACTATGCTATTAATATTATTTTTGATTCTGGAAAAAACCACAGTTCGATTGGTCGAGTTTATTTTTACTAGTCGGCATGTGGTGTTGAAACTATAATTATTTATTATTAAAGAATACTAAAGAAATGTGTTTTATTTAAACTGTGTGAAAAACAAATAAACTTTGTGACGGTTGGTCCACTTTTATATTATTAAACAAACTGCATGAGTGTTGTGCAAGAGCTGTGAAATGTGAAAATTAAGTTCTGCGAACGCACTGGTTTTCGGAACAGACTGGATTTAAGAAAAAATTAATTTGCGAGCTACAAACCCATAAAAAAGTGTATATTTCTTTGCAAATTTAAACATTGTTCATACATATTCGACGTAGCGCTGCTGTGCGGATATTGTAATGATAAATAAAATTAAACTGAAAATTGCATTTTTCTCCTGGCAGTAGCAGCAGTTGGCTGGCGAACCCTCAACACATATTTGTTCAGTTCATTCACAAATCGTCATAGTAAAAGATGCATATATATGCATATAGTATAGAAACGTACATATTCGCCTACACTTGTGGTTGGGTTGTGCTCTGTACCCCACTGTTATCGCATTGGGCGCCTGACATTAAGCAAAAACAGGTTTTTTTTTAGCTCTTGTAAGAGAATTCGAAAAAAAGTTGCATTGTTTTGTATAGTTTGTATGACTGTTGAGCTTGTGTGCAAACATAAAAATGTGGGTTTGCATTTTATCCCATTTGGCATTAACAAAGCGCAGCTATGGTGCATATATGTATGTACATATATAAATATATACATACATATACATATACAGTATCGGTCATATCTATAGCACGCCATTTCAAAGTGATATTGTGAGCCACTTATGTTTATTTATTTATTTTTAAGAATTTCCAATCAAAATACAGTTCTTTCTCTAACAAAACCCATATAAACTCAAGTTTAAAAATTTGTAGAAAACTACAAAAAAGTGCAACAAATTTTCACCTAAGTTTCAAACTTTTTTCTCGGAAGTGTTAGAATTTTTCTGATTATAGCCCAATTAATTTTGGTGTGAAAATATGTGCAAGTTTCAAGTGGCTAAAAGTTACCGTTGATTTTTTGGAATTTTTTTCGCCAAAGGTGTGCGATTTTCTTCCATATATAAATTTATATATGTATATATTTTCTTGCATATATAAACTGAGTTTATTCATTATATCCAATGCCAATGCGACCATTTCCCTAGTTTGCAAGTTCTTGCGTACGAAAACGATAAAATATGATAATTCGTAAAACCTTTTACTGGATTTTACTGGAAATGTGTAAACAAACACAATGCTATGTGAAGAATTTCTTGCAGATTTTTTCAGCATTTTCTTTATTTTTCGTACAGAATCTTTTTTACGAGTTCGTGTCAACCACACTATACTGTGGTGTCAACCACTTTCTATAATTTTCTTTGAAGATTCCTTAAAAAATCGTTCCAGAAATTAGGTACTCCTTAACATTTCGGGAACTTTTGTTTGCAGGGTATGTATGTACATACATATGTACATACACTTATTAGTTTTTATTTTATGTTTTATTTATTTGCCTCCAGCTTTCCCTCGACTTAGCAAAACCTTTTCGCTGCTGTGAAATTTTCTGATTATTTATTTGCAAAACGTGCCTGTGTATTGCAAGCATCCGCATTCCTTACATGCTAGCAGTATCTGATAACTAACTAGTTCATGGTTGATACAAATATATATATACATATGTATGAATGTACAATGTATCTACATAAACTACATAGTACATATTAGATATGTTTGCATGTGCATATAACTAAATATTTCAGTTCGAGATTAATCGAGTAATTAAAATTAGATATGGTATTTTTAATAATAAACTCTGTTGTTGTGTCCAACGACTCTGATCATTTGAAAAAGACCTTATCTCACACAATATTTTACCTACATAGATACATACATATGTACATACATATTAAAACCCCTTTTTTAAGCGTAGTCTGAATTTCCTTTTTAAGTAAAATTTTACATATTTAGACGGAAGCCCTTAATTTCATATAGAATCAAAACTTATAAATTGACTTAAGTTGTTTTGTCAAAAGTCAAAAGCAAAAAGGTATAATAAAAATATTACCAATAAAATAAAATCACGTATATGTAATACTAATATTGCACTGCAAAAAAAAAACATTATATGTACGTACATATATAATTTCTTTCCTTATGGCCAATCTAATTCGAAACCGTAAGCTACAAGGAAATATTTTAAAATAAATATGTATGTATGCTTCAGTTCAATTTTAAACACATTTGTAAATTTTTTGCAGTGCAATATTAATATGTACATATGTGCATATTTTAATTGTCAGTATCTGCATGTGCTTATATATATATGTACATATGTATGTAGATATGTTGCTATAAGAGTTGGGCTATAGTAGGCGTATTTACTAATTATATAAAATACCGCGGCGTAAACCAACTGTAAAATCTACAGTAGGTCGCCCACAAATGAATACAAATTATTTGTATTTTCTTACTTAATTCTGAATCATGTGAAAACAGGCTATGAGAACTGAAATGCAAATAATAAGTCACGCTATCTTATCTTCTTAATAGTCATAGTACTTAGTATGTATGTATTAACATGTGTAATAATTTGAAGTATTTTGATGCTACTCCTAAATATTTGTCTGAACAAAAAGAAAAAAGTTAGAAGGTACATGGTATGTATATAGAAAATATGTACTTACGTATGTACATATGTATGTATGAATTTTCAACATTTTACAGATCAATTTTTATTTCTCGAACATCGCAAGTGCATATGGCAATCTACTTACTCGCTCTGTAAAAAAAAAATGCTAAAACGTAAGGTCGGTTATAAGTACCTACGTATGTATATTCACATGTATGTATGCATATCGCTGCAGAATATAGCTGCCTTAATGTGGCCATGTAGCTACCATCAAGTCAACACACCCCCAAATTTAAAATAGGAAGCGTGTTGATTAAAAAGAGTCAATATTAAGTCTAAAAATTTTCAAAAAACACATGCAAGTTGCACTTTTAAATTTAAACATGACCAAATTTGCCTTTTGAAATAAAACTACATATTGCATATTTATGTGCATAGCATTAATAATTACTTTGGAATTATAAACTCGAACTTCAAATGTACACCTGTAAGCTAAAAACAAATCGGTGCATATATATTTACATAGTATACTTCTGGTTTACATACATAAGTATGTATGTGCATACATATATTTTATGTGTATGCTCTTTTGTATTTCTCAGGTATACCGATATTTGTCATACTACAAATAATTTACAGCTCCTAATGATCGGTAAAGTTAACAAAGCGACTTATTTAACGGCTAATAACACATATTTACCTAGTAATTACTCAGTCCATTCCCGATGTCAGAAATACTTTTGCAACTAGCATTGTACACAAGATCTAAATAGACTGGTTGTTATTCAAATATATTTATACCTATATGCGCATACATGCATACGTAGGTACATATGTATGTATGTATATTTAAATCAAAATAATTCAGAAACTATTAGCTTGTCACTGACCAAAAGAAGCTATGGGGCAGTTCGTAAATGCATATAACATACAATGTATGTACATACATGTACTATGTATATAAAATGTTTGCTTTGCCATCAACAGATTGTCGCAAGCAAAACTGCGAACATATTACTCAACTTTTAAACATTATTAGTGCTATATGGAGGGATTATTTATTAACTATGTACGTATGCATAAGCACACTTTTAGTGCTACAGTTGTTATTAAATAAATGCATATTAACAAATTAAGCTGCTACTATGTATGTTTTTTACGTGCGTATGTAGGCGCTATATGTATATTAGGGTGGTCCAAAAAGTGAAGTCGTAATTTTAATGCTCTCCCCCCCTAGGATTGTGTTGTACCCAAAAAATATAACCCTATAAGCGCTCAAAGTTTTCCATGTAAATATTTTATAAGGGAACAAAAACAACTTTTGGTAGAAAGGGTATAGAATCCTTGAAAATTAATATTTTTTGATCTGAAAACTCAGGAGACTTCCAGTAATAATACCCCATTTTTTTAGTTAACCATTTTTTAATACTAAAGATTTCTTATTGGTCCCCCCATTGCATTTTCTGTGGTTTTTAGCGGACCTATAAATTACAGTTTCTATGAAAAAATGGTTGAATAAACAATTGGATATTATTATTGGGAATCTCCTACAGATAAACAGAGTTTTCCCATCGAAAATTATTGATTTTTAAGAATTCTATACCATTTCTACCTAAAATTGTTTTTTACCGTATAAAACACATGGAAATCTTTGAGTGCTTTGAGCAACCTCTAAATATTTTTTGATTTCAAAAAAGGGGTTGTATATCTTTTTCGCTATAGAGCAATCCTAGAGGGTGAGAGCATTAAAATTCCGACTTTACTTTTTCACATGCATTTTTGGACCACCCTAATTTACATGCATATGAACATACATATGGCAACGGCAGTTCATTTAGGGC